CCCTGAAGTGCACCTGCCGGACGCGCTGGCCCTCGTACTCCGGAGGCTCGACGCAGTACAGCGAGTCGGGTTCCATGAAGCGAATGTTGGTCTTGTTCATGTTCATCCAGCGTACCACGCAGTCGCAGCGAATGGGGTTGCTGTGCATGCTCACCTCTCTGAGATTGGGGAGCGACTCCACCGTGATTCGGTGGAGGGCGCTGAGCGCGTTGCCGTTGAGCATCAGCGTTTCCAGTCGCGGCAGTTTGTAGAAAGCGTTGGGGTGGATGTAGGAGAGTCTGGGGTTGTTGGTGGCTTCTATTTTCGTCAGCTCGGGCAGATTATTGAGGGCAAAGCTGTCGATGGAGACGAGCTCCGGCATGCTATTAATCCCCAGCTCTTTTAAATGCAGCATGTCCGCGAAATCCCCTCGTTGGATCCTCGCAATGGGGTTTTTATTCAGGTCCAAAAACTTGAGGTTCTTTGCGTTTCTCAGGGCGGAATGCGGCACCTCGGGGAAAGTGTTATCGTAGAAGGAGATGCTCTCCAAGCTATCGAGGCCGGCCAAAGCGTTGTCGGGGAGCTGAGACAGGTTCATTCTGGTGAGGACCAGACTGCGCAGGCTGCCGAGAGGTTTGAAATTCATCTCGTGGACGGAAAGCACGGGATTCTCGCCGATCATGAGAATCTCCAGATTGGGCATGGGTCGGAACCACTCCCTGCGGATGACCGTCAGCTTGTTGGAGTTGAGGTGGAGCCGTAGGAGCTTGCCCAGACCCTGGAAGGCCATTTGGGAAATGGAGGAAATGAGGTTGTGGTTCAGGTAGAGCTCCTGAAGATTGGCCACATCCACCAGACTTTGGTCGGGCAGCTCTTGTATCCGGTTCTCCTCCATATGCAGGGACAGAAGCTGCGGCAGGATCCCGAGACGGACGTCCGTCATGGACGAGATGTTGTTTTGCGACAAATCGATCTCTGTGACGTTGGCCAGGTAATCCAAGGGTCGGTCTATTGCCGCGACGTTGTTTGTTTGCAGCAGCAGAACTTGCGTACCCGCGGGAAGTTTCTCCGGCAGGTGAAATAGTCCCAGATCGTTACAGTCAACGGTCTGCGCCTCCATGTACGCAGAACTGGGAGAGAACCAGGGTCTGTTCTCGCACGTGCACAGTTTGGGGCAGTCCGGCCTTTTGTCAGCGGCCGCGACAAAAGAGGCCACGGCCAAGCCGACAAAGAGACGATCCACGAACGACACGTCCTTCATTTTGGTCTCCCGTCGGAAATTGGTCCTCGTAAATGATGTATTCTTGGCTGTTCGCCGGTGATGAATAATTTGTTGCATCTGCTGAGGTGAATGACTCACCGGCCCTGCCACCTCCACATTCCACTGCAGCAGGGCTCCCAACTCTCAAGAGTCTCGCTTCGTCGTCGTTGTTGTTGTTGTTGTTGTTGTCTTGCTGTGCGATTGCCCTTGGAGGCAATTACTAATCACTCAACGTCAGGGTGCGGGGCCAAGACTGCAGTCAGGTAGAGCGCAGGAATTGGGTAGGGCATGCGGGAACTCAGACTTGGCACATTTGCAGGCATCCGTAAAGCCCCCCCCCCCTCACCCACTTCTGTTCAGAAACTCAGACGTCCCCGCTGATTGTCGTCCGCAGCCCGGTCCGTTCCAACCTGCAAGAGACAAAGGAGCCGTGAATCACGCCGGCCGATACCGAGCAACATGTAACAGCGAAGCGTTCGGACATGTTGACATTTATGATAGGCGTCGCGATACATGTTGACATTTCTTCACAAACGCCGGGTGCCGAGCCACGGTTTGAAAAATGCTTGACCTTCCGGGCGTGCGCTCTTTCAAAATGGCATTTGTTCTGATGATCGGTTAAAACGGAGGCTTTTATTAGGATTCCGAACTGCCAGACATCCTGCGGCTGAAGGATTAGCCACATGGCAAACTGCTTCAGATCTGCGCAAAATGTCGGTCGCCATAGCAACAAGTTGACAGGCGGCCAACGGAACCGCAAGCTTGACCCGGGGGCGCCAAATAACGCACGTTGTATAGTGAGCGAATGTCTCCGCCCACGTCGGGCAGCTCGCGGGATTGCGCGCCTCCAATAAATGTCGTGATGCTTTTCCGTTCGTCGTTCAACAACGCGCGGGGCCTGCACGCGAGGTGCAACGTCAATATTTTACTTTATGATTGCGGGCTTGCAAATTATCATCGGTGGTAAACATGAAGAGGCTCGTGTCAATTGTCTTTGTCGAAATTGACGTCATCCTACGACGACAATAATTAATCTTCACCAAATGGTCTGACGCTCAAGACGTTTAAATTCGGCCCCTTAACCCCACCCTGTTGTTTTATTCCAGTCATGATGACTCCTCCATGCAAATTTTTTGTCTCCCGGTTCTGTGACCACAACACGACGCTGACCTACTCCCGTGGCTGCGGCTCGCATTTGTAGCGTGACATTTGTAAATGCCTCTTAATGAAGAGATGACTTTCGATGGTGCTCGTGATATTTTGGGCCTGTGAGAGCAGATCAAATGAAGGACCGAGTGTGACGATGGCTGGAAAGCGAGAACAAAGAAAAGAGAAATGCTTTCATTTCATCACAGTCGCCGTTTCCACCTCGGTGGCCGCAAGGGAGTCGCGGGGGGGGGGAGGGGGGTGGCGGATAAAATACCGAACAATGAAAATAGATGAACAAACGCTGCAGAAATGCCGCGCGGGGGTTTCATTCCTCCACCTTTTGCTCCAGCGGTGACGGGAGACTGACCGGGAAACGGGAGAGATGGGAATGCGGTGCCAGTGGATGCAGCGAGGGGAGTTGGAGTGTTTTTCCATTTCCAAAGCAATCGGGCGCTTCGCAAAGCCGCAACACCCAAAGCGTTCTGATCAAAAAGGCCGCGCTTCGACGCGGACATGGACTACTTCGTGATCCTCGCCCGGGACAGCCCGGCCAGTGGGAGCAATGCCTCACTTGTGTTTTGTGACTGTTGGAGAAAGGGAATCGTTAGCCTTTTTTGTTTAACGTTCAGCGTTATCTCGCCCGCATTGATTAAATGTAGGTTGGGATTAGGACGGCTTAACTCACAATTTACAAGCCGCTGTGTCTCGCAAACGCAATTCCTTGGCAATAAACGAGAGTACGTTTTTTTTTTTTTCCCCCCCCCCTCATGACCATCGACAATATGTTCATGACGGACATGACGAACCGTGCGAGCGTCGGCTCCAAACACGATCCCGTCAAGTGCGTCGCCGTCGTATTGACGTCACGGACATTTGGCTGAAATAACCCGGCGCAGAGTGAGTTAAAGCACTTGCACGAACCTGGCTAGTCAAGTGACCCCCGCGGCAGCCCACCCCCCTTGCCTCTGTCGAGCACTCATTTCCCACCGAGCTCAGCTCACTGGCAGTTTTAATTGGCAGAGAACGAGGAGAGAGAGTCGAGATCGGGACGGAGGCCAAAAGGAGCCGTTTGACGCGGCGTCGGCGCTGTTGTGTTGACCGCCGTGAACTCGAGAATGCAGCCGATGCCGCTGCGCGATGAGTGGAAAGCGCGTCGGTTCGTGCGAGGGGAGTGGTTGCCGTTTGATTGGCGCTCAAAGGGCAAAAGTGAGCTCGGGGTACTGTCCAGTGTGCTACATTAGCCGCGTCTGTAAAATTGTGACAGGAAACTCTGTGAAATTTCAACTCGGCTGTATCAAGTCGAAGACCCGAGTTTGTCATTTGCGTTACGTCATCGACAGCTGGTACTTTTCGCCGAAAAGTCGTGAAACTGCTTGACGCAAATTAGGCTCCGACATTTGCGCGGTCGCCAACGGCGGTCCTTTGCAAGTGGGTCTAAGGTGTTCGCTCATGGAGCTAACGCGAGCTCCCGAGTGTCCAAAGCGGAACGGCAAAGGAGTCGTTCATGCGGCACGTCTCCCAGTCCCCGCGGTGGGCATTTTGTGGTTGTGGTTGTGTGTGTGTCTGTTTTGCTTTTTCAATGTTACCCAGGCACGTGTTTTATTGGGGGGCGGGGATTGCAGTTCTTGACATATGTGCCCGGATTGCACCATTTGTACGCCAGCATTTGCAGTTCTGTCAGGCTAATCATGACAAACCGGAATTGGGACGAGTTTTCATCACAGTTCAAGGTGAAAAGCTTTTGTTCATTCGGCTCTTGGCAGCTCCTCACACTCACACTTTCCCACCGGGCCGCGTCCATTATGCGCCGAGGCTGTTCCGGACAGTAATGGCGCAAATACAGTTTGATTGGAGACCGGTGAGATATGACCAGTTTAAATGAATGCGTGCGTGCGCACCAGTGGGGGGGTGGGGGCACAAAGCATCGGTCCGGGTGGCTCCGCGGCACTAATTCAGGCCCGCTGGCTGACTCGAGTCGGCCGTGTCGCCCAACGACCGGGCCGAACTGTTTGTTTTATGCTGTTTATTGAAAAGGGGTGTAAATCTTCCCTCCGGCTTCACGGGGCCTTGGATGGGAATTTAGCGGAGCAAGGACATAAAGATGATTGCTTTGCCGCAGGTCGGGTATTCATCTGTGCGCCGCGCGGTTACAGGGTGACCTGCAGTTCCTGTAGAATAAATAAAGAAATAAATAGGTTGGATACGAAACACGCTAGGTGTGGGCTGCGTGTGCACAAAGTAGAGAGCGATTGTTCCGTGTCACCTTTCGGGGGGGGGGGAAACCTCCGCGTTGGGTTTTGCGGCGAGCATTCGCGTCCGCCGGGGAGGCGATTACAAGGCCTGGGTGGGCAAGGCGCTAACAAGGCGGCGGCGCCGCCGCCTCCGCTGAGTGGCGTTAAGTGTGTTTGGAAGACATCAAGTTCAGATGGAGGCCGGTATCAAGAGGTCGAACGGGCCGTCTCGAAACCCTTGAAATGAGCGGCGGCTCGGACCTTGCGTGACGGCCTCCGCCGTGCCGGTGAAGGCATGAATATGAATTTGCCGCAAAGTGCTTTTCGATCACCGGTAGACTGGAAGGGCACTTTATTATCGCGCTCCATTTTAATGTCTTATTTCGAACCGGTGCGTTACTTAAGTGCAAAAAAATATCTTGAGGTGGCGAGGGTTCCATTTGCGAGTGCGCGCCGCTGTTTGTTCTGCCCGTCGTGAAGCCATTACTGTCCATCTGACAGCGAGATTGGGAGGATTTTATTTGGAGAGGGCCAAGAAATATCCCGCTCACTTTGAGACATGATCCAAATTCGAACATGCGTTTCCGGAAAGTTCCTCCGCCGTCGGTTAGCCGGCGCGGTGCTTTGCGAGCTCTCCTCTAAGTGCTGATGATGATGATGACGACGCGGTGGATGTCGAAGACGGCAAACGACGGTGGCCCGACGGTACACGTGAAATGAATTTCTTTTCGGCGGAATCATCCCCGACAATTCCCGTACGAGGTCGTGAAAAAGATAAAAGAATAACGACGGAACTTCTGGACGGACTGTTCTTTGCTGCGCTTTCGTTTTGAACCACGAGGTTGCGTCTTAATGATCCGAAACGGCTCCAAACCTTTTTCGCTTGTCTTCTGATAGCGGCGGGCAACTTAAAGATTGCATTTCGAGACACCCCCGCATGTCAGCACGTGCGACACTGACTCGACATGACCAAGCGACTTCCGATACTCCGCTTAAGCCCCTCGGCGGACGGCGACGGCCGCGAGGCTTTCCTGTCGCTCCCTTTGCCCTTCACCTCATTGATTTACTTTGATACTTTCACCGAGGTAAGAAGGAAGTCCATTAACGAAAACCTTCTTCTTTGCGGCATGTTTGCATAATGAAGCGACCCGCGCGCGTGGGCGTGCGCGCGCAACGTGGCTCCGGCAGGACGCTTTTCCTCCGGGCGTCCGTGCTCGCGCGGCCGGGGGCCGTCGGCCAGTTGGTCGTAAATGCAAAAATCGATGTTCCAAATTAACCACGGGACCTTGTTTTGTGTTTTTTCCTGCCCTTCCCTGGACGCGACCCGCCCTTGGGCTCAAAGCGGAGGAGCACGACGAGGGCGACGCCATCGAGCGGCGATTACACCACGCCGCATTAGTGACGGCGCTTGAACGGGAACGCATAAAGCCTGGCTTATCTAACGGTGGCCTGACACACAGAGAGCAGCGTCGGGTTTCTTTCTAATTCGCTTCTATTCAACCTAAAACCGAGGTGTGTGCACCTCGGGGTCGCCGCGGATAAGGTCAAAGGCGTAGCGAGCGGTCCAACAATCATTTGCGCGGCGGCGTGATCGCACTCACTCTTGACAAAAGAAAAAAAAAGTGCATAATGTCCCGCGTATTGCTGCGAGCCAGAATGAAGGGAAGGGGAGGGAGGGAAATGGCGCCACCGGCGTATCCCTCAAAGTCAGAACCAAATTGAATCGGCAGGTGCAAATGTGGCAAGTGTGCTGCCTACGAGATGCGCTGCTATCTATATTCATATGAATAATAGATGGCGGGTCAAGAGGCCACGCGCTCATAGGAGGGGGAAGGGGGGGGGGGGAAATTACACGCCACAGAAATGCATTTATGGCAAGCTTGGGTCTCTTTATGACCTCGTGCGGAATTCAAATCGGGCCTCACCGAAAGCACGTGAAATGCGACACGTCCGCAGGTTTGCATGCGCAAGATGCTTGAAGGAAAGGATTGTCATCGCGGATTCAAGCAGAAGCCCTTCCATGCTCGTGTTGCAATCACGTTCGGCGCTGAGATGAATCCACGGGAAAATTACTCCGTTCAACTTGGAACTCGCGCGATACTGGAAAAAAACGGGATATCGGTGTTCAATATTGTCATATCGATATCAAAGGATAGGATGTTTTTTTATTATCTAATGACAAATACATGCATGACCTCCACATATGAAAGTGGAGCGATTCAATCGGAGTCACGTGACGAGGCCGATTGCGCCTTCCGCTGCCACGGTGCCGATATTTTGCCGCTCGCTCTATTGTGCGGCCCGACCGGACGCTGTTCTGCTTCAAGATGCAAAAGTAAATTGCAAATGTCACGTGAGACAAAAGCGCCATCAAATGTCATTGTGACCTTTTAGATGTGCTCTCGCAAAAGCCACGGTGACACAAATCTTTTCATATTTGCTTTGTGGGCTTTTTTTTTTTTTTTTTTTTTTTTGATGCAGCCTGTCAAATCCGTGGCCAAACAAACCTCTCCCCTCACAGTCGCTCCATCTTCCCGGTGCTTTGTGTTTGCACTTTCTCCATTTTGATGTGTTTATTTGCAAACGGGAGGTTACAAGCGAGCCGACGCCGCCATATTGGGAACGTGTTTACGTGCGTTTCGCTCGGCGCAAGATCCCGTCGTTGCTCCTAACGTTCCTCCTCCTCCACCCCCACCCGCTGCAGCCCACGCATTCTCACCTTCCCGGGACCTGCTGCCCTCTACCTACCGAGAAATGCATAAAATCGAACACCCACACTGTGTGAACGATGCTCTCCGAGCCTACACAAGGCCACTGCGGACACGATATTTCTTTTCCACCACACACACACACACACACACACACACACGCACGCACATACGCTCACCTTATTGCGTCGGGATCAATAGGCAATCCCCTGAGCCACTCACGTAAGCATATGACTTGTTGTGGACATGTAATATTGATTTGTTTTGCAGCAAATGTGCCCAAAATAATGAAGCCAGCCATTAGTGCTGTGCTCCGCTGTTTTGTTTTCGTCCCGCTGCCAAGGAGAAACAATACATTTCATAATCACGAACTCCTTGTCAGACTTTACAGCTTGCCCCCGAAGGGTCATTTCAAACAAGGACTCGTAAGCAAGCATGTTGCAGGGTGGAGATTTCCCTCAGCATTTCAATGTGGCACGTCTGTTCCTTTCCAGTGAGCTTTTTGGTAGGGAGAGTGGTGGGGGGGCCTGTGGCACCCCCAAGTGAAGGCCCAAATATATTCCAGCCCCCATCCCGGCCGGCATACAGGGACACATTCACACAAGCGATGTGCTCCACTTGCCTTTGAAATGTGCACCAGCACATCATCCGCTGGATGATTTACATTTTGGACCAAGAGGGCAGGAGAAGGGCTCGATAAACGTCCTGTTGGTTTTGGAGATGAGAGCAAAGCACCCGCGCGAGCACTCTTTCTCTCTCTCTCTCTCTCTCTCTCTCTCTCTCTCTCTCTCTCTCTCTCTCTCTCTCTCTCCAGCCAGATGCCTGCTGTGTGGGTGTGCACGCACATGTAGCGAGAATGCTCAAAGATGCCTCACAGTGGCCGCTTTAATTACGCACTGGATGTGCGATTACTGCCGGGCGACAAAGGCGAATGAGTTCCGCGTGTACACGTCCCAAGGTAGGAGTGGGTAGGAGCGTGGGCGGGCGGGGGGGGGGTCAAAACAAAAGGCTGCGAATGTGTCATGCACTTCCGTGGCATGTTGGCAACAGTGCAGGAAAGCGAGGACGGGATTGCCAACCTTTCCCGTAGATTTCTTCGAAACTGGAGTGTCTGGAGTGCGCTCGCTCAAACCGACCCGGGGACATGCGAGCAGCGCCCCCACCCCCACCACCCTCACTTGCACACTTTGCAGTATCCGGCATTGCTCTCTCGCGTCTTAAACGCGAGGAAGGATCACGGATGTGCTCGTCGGCGTGCTCGCATGACGCGTATTCTGCATAGTTGCGCAAAAAAAAAAAAAAAAAACATCCACGGCCAAACCGTCGTCATCCTCTTCAGTGTTTTGAGAAGCCGCTATTTTTTTTAACACTTAGCTGGTGAAAAAAAATGGCTGAAAAGCTGAGATAAAACACATGAATCATTGAATACAGCCCTCCTCTTTTTTTTAATTAACTTGCAGCGCGCGTTGCGCAGATGCAACCATCCGACATTGCATCTAAGCACTAATTTTAAAATAAAAAAAAAGCATAGACGCTATTCAATCTTAAATGCAAGTGAACTTACCGTTTTGACCGTTTGCGGTCCTCGAGGCAGCGAGTGTCGACGATATTCCCCGTCAAGTCCGCCGTTCCGGTGACGAGACGCCAGTCAACGTGTGGTCGTTTTCCCTCAGACCTCCTCAAGCTTCTCGCCGCACAAACAGCACCCCCCCTCCTCCTCCTCCTCGCCCCCTTCCACCCAAAAAAAAAAAAAGGAAAAAATTTGTGGGGAAAAGTCCAAGCGTGCGAAAATGCCAAAGAGGGCTCACGCGCGTCCTTCCTTTGGCGTCCTCAGAGAGGCTGACGGAGGCAACATCCCTCTGCCGCCCGCCTGTGCCGACGCGCCGCCGCCTCCTCACCAGGCATTAGTGGATGAGACTTAGTCCCCGCCCCCCGTCCGGCAATCAACCAATCGCGTCGGAGGTGGTCGCTGCATCCCACCTCTGATTGCTGCCGGGGGGGGGGGCGCTGTCGCTTTTTGCCGGACACACAGTGGTTAATTCTCGGCTGCCGGAAGGGGAAGAACGCTGCAAAAAGTGCCCACCAAAAACAAAGTCACGTCAAGTATTGAATTTAGTGTTGATAAATTGTTTGCAGTGCGCATCAGCAAAAGTGAGACTCGGTTCACGAGCGACCGGGTTAAGAATTGAGAAGACGCACGTGATCGATGCCGCTTATGCCTCGTCGATTTTAATCGGTTCTCGATACGTTTGGGGGAGTAAATATTTCAAATGTGATGCAACCCTCGCTTGGATCCGCCTTGGATGAGGAAGGCGATGCCAGTGGGCAATTTTTTTTTTTTGCTGGAGACGGCAGAGCACCGGGGAAGAAAATGGATCTCTGTAGCTATTAGCTCCAGAGCTCCCCGCTCAGATCCCAGGAGACTTTGGAACACAATGTTCGACAAAGTGATGATCCTGGAGGTCGCTCGGGGTTAGCCGCGGCCTCTCGGTGAGACGGAGACGTCCGTCATCTGTCGGCCCGCGCAGTTATGATCCCAAACTCGTGCTGTGTCGAATGCAGAACGGCCGAGTCATAAATGTGCGCGTGGACTCCTAAATGAACGTCACGGCGCATCCACTTTTGAGTTTGGGCTCCAACACGAAAAAAGCGGTTGAGAGTCATTCCGCGCTACGTTCGAGTGTTTAATGAGCGACCTCGGCCTCGTATTTGGCGGCGTGTGACGACGAAGCCATCGGCTTCGCAACTTTGAACAACAAGCGCCCGGGGAGTCGCTCTTATTATTCGACGGGAGGTGAGGAGGCTTCGCTAACGAGCTGACGCCGCGACCCGACGGCGTGACGCATTTCTTGTTTTCGACTCCGTATTTTGTGTGCGGGTTATAAATGGAGTCCGCGCTAGGCCGAGGAGAGCCGAGTACCCTCCGATTCGGATGCGGGCGGGACGGGCGCTCATGTGTCGCACTGGGAAGACTATTTTGAATTTGCTCTCGGGTGACTTCGGGCGGTTCTCGCACTGCCGTCTGCGCACGTTCCGCTTTCGGAAACTGCCTTTGCGCTCCGGTTTGAAGTTTTGCGCTTCTCGTAACGACGGGCCCCATATGCAACCTTGATGTGATGTCATGATCGGCGTGCTTATTTTTAGGCGACGTCTGGAAGCTTCTTGTAGTTTTCTCCTTCAAAGACTCGTTTCAATTTTTGTCAGTTAGCGCCCCTGCCACCCCCCCCCCCACACACACACACACAAACAAATGTACAGCTATGTCATGTCATGTTTTATACAAGAAGACATCGTTTTACACGAGCTGAGGGTTTGATGTGGTGACAGACAAAACATCGGACTTTCATATATTTGCACGACAGAAATGCCCTGCAAATAGTTCAAGATTTTAAAACCGTCGACTGTACAGTGGCAGAAGAATGTGCGATTATTGAATGAGTTGAAGTGATTCTTTTGGCTGATAGACCCCGCCCCCAACCAAAAAAAAAAAACAACCCGCGCCTTTGTAGTGGCCCGAAGTGGAGAAATGAGGCAGCGACAGCTGATTCAGCATTTTATTCCCGCCGCCCGGCAGTACCTTGGACCTTATAAGTTGACCGTGGAGACTTCACAGCTCATGAAACAAGTCAAGGGTGCAGTCAGCTCCCCATAAAAGCGCGCCAATAGACTCGGAGTCACGAGGGAAGCCCGGATTGTTCCCGGACCGAAGCAGAAAATTGGACCGCCGTGAAAAATCTGCGTTCAATGTAATGCCATCAAACCGCATTTGGACGCAGGGGGGCCGAAAGGCGGCAGAGGCGGGCGGGCGGGCGTCTTTTTTTTCCAAGATGGCCCGAGGTGTTTACGGCGTAAATGATGTCTTTGCTCGCACTTGTTTATCGCGGGGTTTGGGGAATATTCCCGAGGCGTTTCATGGTGACATTTTGCGATGTGTTCCGCCGAGGGAGGAAAAAAAAGGCCACGCGGGGGCCAGTGGAATTTATTGACTGAATTTCACACTTCGAAATGGCTCTTTTAACAAGTGACATCAAGAAATCGGGACGTCCTCTGCCGAGGCCGCGCGCGCCCGTTAGCTGCTTATCGCGAAGAACGGTCTCGCTCGATAGACCCTCGCTCGGCTCCCGATAAAGAATGGAAGATTACGCCCGAGTATTTTTAGCGCGTGGAGCTTTTCTGGCACAAATTCCGCCTACTTCTTCTCCGCCTCGGACGCATCGCGCTTCCGTCGTCCAAGACGCTTTGTGGATTCCAAATCGTGGCATCTCCGAGAAAATCCATTTCGAAAAGAGGCCGCCGTCGTTCCAAGCCGTGCTCGTGAAAACCTTCCAAGTGAGCGTTTGGCATTCACGTTTTTTTTTTTTTCTTTCCACCTGTTCTCATCAGCCCCGTTCGTCGTTTCGACCGATCTGCTCCGCTGACGCGCGCTTCTCGATTTGAAGCCAACCACGCCCACCACGATCGCCGTGACGTCAAACATCAGCCCCGTGGGTGCTCCTTAAAAAAATCGTGGCGACTCCCCGGCTGCAGATTTCGACCGGCGGCGTCCAAGCTCCGCTTTTACACTGACGTCAAGACGAATGTTTTTCGACTTGAGTGTCTCATAACGCCCCCATCATGTTCAAATCTCAGTACGCCATCGACGTGCGCGTGTTCGTTTCATCCGGCGTGCCGCTTGTGATCCAAATAAGCGCTCTGTCCTCATGATATACGAGAGATTCTTCGCGATAATGATGCAACATATGTTTTTAAGACGGGATGCCAGACTTGGCAAACAGCGGGCGTTCTACGATCCCCGCGCGTTATTTGTGTCACGCTGGGAACGATAACTTCGGCGCATGTAAATAAATTGCGCGAGGCCCCGCGTTGGAGGGGTGGGGTGGTGGGGGGGGGGGGCTTTATTTAGCACGTGTGGCAATTAAAATCTCTACAATTTCCATTCCTCCCGCACTTGGGATCGCACATGAAGCCGACACGTGCAAGACGAGCTGGCGGTTGCGCGGCACGGCCGCAGCGTGAACCACGGTGTCCGCGTTATGCCAAACGGGCTGAAAGCAACAAGCCAAAGTGTTGGAAATTGTCATGAACGCGCCTGTTGAACAATTGTAATCACGGGCTGCGTTTCTCAGCTCGGCGATTCCCCCGCCCCTTGGTTACGGTTGCTATGCCGGTCAAATCTCATGAAGAGGCACATGAAGCGACGAGGGTGGTCACGTGACCTTACCTTGGACGATGTTCAGCCGCATCGGAGATCTCGTTGCCGGAGAATGTTTGGCTGTTGTGCCATGACAGACACTTTGGCGTGAGAAGACGATTGCATGGCCGTTGTGCGAGAAAGGTCACGTTTGGCAGCATTGCTTTTCATCTTCATTGTCGCGAATCTTGAACAGCGCTGGCCAATTTCTTGCAATTCTGACTTGTCAAAAGGCCGAAACGCCCCAAAACCGTTTTGACAAGCAAGGCAGGCTTCACTCCCGAGTCACAATTGAGCACGTGTTGGTCGGCGAGTCGATTTGGCTCAAGCCGTCCGGCGGTCGTTTGCTCCCGCGCCGATAGCGGGCCATCACACCTCCATAATCCGCGCCGGGTTTTCCCCCCCACCGCGCCCATTTGTATTCTTCGTCATCTTCTCGTTGCTTCTCTCCGGTCGGCGAGTCGATTTGGCTCAAGCCGTCCGGCGGGCGTTTGCCATCACACCTCCATAATCCGCGCCGGGTTTCCCCCCCCAACACGCCCATTTGTATTCTTTGTCATCTTCTCGTTGCTTCTCTCACTCGCCAGGCTTGTTCTCCGGGCGCAGTGGCATAAAAGTTTTGGTCTTTTTCCACCGTGAGAGTGGCGAGGCGGAGGAATATCGCCCGGGGGATATTTCATATCCCCCTTAGCCCTGCCTGGATTCACGCGCAATCCTGCGCCATCTTTTTTATGATTTTTTTTTTTCCTCCCCTACTAATCACTCATCTTTCCTTTATCTCACTTATATCGCTCCCTTTCAACTTGTCCTCTGCACCTTTGCACCTCCTCATCACTTCCTGATTTTTGATTCTTTCTTCCATGGGCGTCACCCTCCTTACACTCAGTGTTGTTTTTGGCAGCCATTTTAGATTTCGTCTTTTGGGGCAAAACTGCTTCTCAGTTTTGGTCACGGTTTGTTCATTCCCGATAGACCGCACGCTCACAATTCTCGTCTCGTCAACCAAAACTCACAGACGTCGCGTCCGTCATATTTTAGTCATCAAAGAGCCTCGTCATCGATCGGTCTGACGCAGTCCCTGCAAAAAGAATCGCAAACTGTTTGCCGTATTTACAACGGCACGAGCGCTCGTGTTTGGCACATTTGCCGGCGTAAATGATGCACGGAAGAAAGAGCGGGATTAATAAGCAATTTATCCCGGAAGGGCCGACGACGTCTCCTGCATGGTGATTTGTTTACTTCCTTCCTTTTGTGCGAGTGTATGCTTGCAGACGTGTACACACACACACACACACACACACACACACACACACACAGAAGCGCACTGCCAGGCATTTCCATCCCCCACACGATAACGTCCCCTTTTGATCAGCAGATGACATATTTGTTGACTAAATATAACCCTCAACAGTGAAGATGCTGTCATTTATATTTGGCGCTTCCTTGAAATCCAAAATTTAAAAAAAAAATGCATTCCTCTTGCGAAGCGAGGAAAATAAATGATGAGGGGAGGAAAATGTAAATGAACCGCTGATTAGGTGAGCCTTGGAAATAAAAGCGACCACAAAAAAAAAAAAAAAAGAAGAATCTATCAATAACCACAAAAGTAGGAGACAAAACAGAAAGCGGCGTCAGGGTAAACAGCGGCGTCTGCGGGACTTTATCGGCAGAATC